ACCACAGGTGTCCGCCACGGCTATTTTTTGGTTGCAGCCGTCATTGTTGTTTGGCGGGTCCGGGCTGGGGATTCGAACCCACCACCTCAGGTGTACGTGGCTGGCGCCTTAGCCGGTTGAGCCACAGGCGCCGAGCCCATGTTAGTATTCTTAATAATGTCTATTCATTAATATGATAGGGTAGAACAATTTTCTGGTCGTGGAAAATATTCAAGAAAAAATATCAAATGTCAGTGGTGCCTGTGGCTGAGTGGGTAGGGTGCCGGCCCCATATGCTGAGGGTGGCAGGTTCGTACATGGCCCAGGTTAAAGTGCAACAAAAAAATAGTTGGGCGTCATGGCAGGCGCCTATAGTCTCAGCTACTTGGGAGGCTGACGCAAGAGAACCACCTAAATTGGAGGTTGCTGTAAGCTGTAGTGCCACAGCATTTTACCATGGGCGATAAAGTCTCTCTAAAAAAAAAAAAGAAAAGAAAAGAAAGAAAAAATGCAAGTGTTAGAAAATATAAAATTTGGCTGGGCATGGTAGCTCAAGCCTATAATCCTAGTGCTCTGGGAGGCCATGATGCTCAGATTGCTTGAGCTCGGGACTTCAAGATCAGCCTAAGCAAGACCAAGACCCTGTCTCTACTTAAAAATGGAAAAACTAGCTAGGTGTCATGGTGGGTGCCTGTAGTACCAGCTACTGGGAGGTTGATACAGGAGGATAGTTTGAGTCCAAGAGTTTGAGATTGCTGTGAGCTATGATGACACAATGATGCTAGAGCACTCTACCCAGGGTGACAGAGATTCTATATCCAAGATAAAACAAAGAATAATAATATATTAAAAATATAAACTTTATGTAAAATAATGTGCTTTTCCTGATCCATGACCATGCTCACACACATATCACATCACACGTGTATACTCACACACACATAGACATGTACACTTAAGACCTATGCACTGAAATAACATGACGTGTCTTTGTGAAAGACAACCCTCTGCTGCCCAATGAACCAAGGAGTCTCAAGGACAGTAACTCCTACAGGAAGGCCAAGTACAGAGTTTCTGAATATTTCTTCAGAACCTGCTCCCCTCCCAATGAAGTCCACTCCCACACTACAGCAGGAGGAGCTGGGATGGACTGAGTTCCCTCCAGGGAACAGACGAGGCACTGATGAAAATCGAGGCAAAGTATAGCCCCCCTCTTATTTCTGTGAATCACAGGCTGATCTCAACCTGCACAAGGGGAAGACACTGTTTTAGATTTCAATGTTGGATAGAGAACAGTCTAGA